CTGTAAAAGGGGCTCTCTGCTGCCTTCCCTGACATACCTCCACCGTGTGGGTCCAGCCCTGCCCTTCGGTTGTGGTATTTTGACCTGGTTCTGTGCGTGTGATGCTTCTGCTGGCTTCTGTTAGCTGCTTGCAGTTTCCTCTTCCTCCTCCCCGTGGGGACTGCGGGCTCGGAGTCCCTAGCAGATTGCACAGTGAGGAGGGTTTATATTCTTTGGTTTCTTTGAATCGCTTCTTCTCCAGGTCCCTTCCTGGAGCCCATTGAATTCAGATACCATCAGCAGCACTGTTTTGATTAAAAGCCAATTTGCATACCTCGGGGCTATATGAGTCTGAAACATTGTAAAAAAATAAATTAGGGAAATGATAGCTATTAATCTCTGTCCTATCAAATAATAACGGTTAGGGCTATAGAGGGATGGGTATGGTACGCTTTCACTTTAATCTGAGTGATTTCTGTTGCTATCCCCTCTGTCCTGCCCTGTGTGGAAGAGAGGACAGCGGCAGGGTCACCAGCTGGGTAGGACATGCGTGGGCCATCCCAGGGGAGTGGGAGACGTTTACCCTGTAGGCAGGACACACTGTTTCCCAATGGCCCTGACAATTGTTCCCCTCCTGATGCTGCAGGTGAAGCTGGTGCAGCACACGTATTCCTGCCTCTATGGGACCTTCCTCGGGAACAGCCCCTGCGAGCGAGAGATGCACAACATCTACAAACGTACCTGCTCCGTGTGGTCCCTCCTGCGGGCTGGCAATAAGAACTTCCACAATCTTCTCTATATGCCAGGCTCTGAGCAGGTCAGTAGAGCTGCTGGCCTGGCTTTCCAGGCTTTTCACCTGCCAAGCACAGGGACTGTGTGGGGAGAGGTTGGGGGGGGTTTCCTTTTGCATTGACCTCTGATCGTAAGTGGTTGTTGCAGGTGCTGCATCCAGTGTGCCACGTGCGAGCGCTGCACGTCTGGACAGCAGTGTATCTCCCAGCTTCCTCACCACATCCTCTGGGACAGGATGAGATGGACATTTACCTGCCCCCTGGATCCCAGAGCCAGGAGTTCAGTGGCAGATGTTTGGACAGGTAAGAGCCTAGAGCTCCAGGCCCAGGTTGCCACCTACCCACAGGCTTTCTTTCCCTCCTTGCTCATTGTAGTTCCTCTCTTTTACCTGTTGTTCTCATCTTTCCTGTTGAGAGCAAGAGCTCTGTAGCATTGTCCCAGCCACCTGGAGCAGAACGTGTACAGCTCCCTGCTGCACCTAAAAAGGCAGACTGCGGAGGCCACGCTGTACACGCATGTGCACTTCGGCTCATGCTGCTGCACCGCCCTTCCCCACCCTCCCCGTGATCTGTAATTAAGGACGTTTCCCTTCCATCATCTCAGTTTCGACTGAATTGAGGAAAGTTTCAGGAGTTTTGTCTTGAGACTTTTTTCCTTTTGGGTTCTAGATTACCAAAGACAAGATCTATGGATGACTTGCTCTCAGCCTGCGACTCCAGCAGCCCGCTGACCCGCACGTCTAGTGATCCAAACCTGAACAACCACTGTCAGGAAGTCCGGGTGGGCCTGGAAGCCCGGCACACCACCGCTGAGGGAGCTGAGCCGTACATGGGCGAAGGCAGTGCGGTGGCTGCGGGAGAGACACGGCAGGTGGAGAAGCAAGGGGGAGATGCTCCCCTGCAAGCCAACAGTGCTTGTAGCAGCCGTGCTGAGCCAGAGGGGCATAGCAAGCAGCTGAGCAGCTGGGCTTCTGTGCCAGCAAGCAGTGCCTCTCTGGAGGCAGAAAAGGGAAACGGAACATACATGGAGGAACTGGACGGCATGTGTCCACCTCCAAATCCTTCTGGACAGGAAAATGTTGACAGGGTTTCCACCAGTTCTGGGAAGCAATTAGAAACCTGTCCCCAGGAACCTTTGGAGGCTACTGGCATGGTGTCCAATGGAGGAGGCTGCCCTAAGAGAAACACCACCTGCCAAGATGTTCCCAGCCAGGAGTCCCTGGCACCAAGCGCCCCTTGCCAGGACATCCCAGGCCCAGCCCAGGGCATCCCCTGCCTGGATGAAGACAACGGCAAAGGTGATGCTGGAAGGAGTGTGCCCTGTGAGGAGCCCGGCCGTCCCGGGAGAGTCACGCTAGAGCAGTGGCGCAAGCCCATTTCCCAGAGCCAAAGCAGCGAGTTCTCCTTTCTGGGGTCCAACTGGGACAGTTTTCAAGGAATGGTGACATCGCTCCCCAATGGGGAGCCTGCACCCAGACACCTCCTCTCCTATGGCTGCTGTAGCAAGAGGTTGAGCAGCAAACCTCTGCGGGCACCGGGCCTGTGCCTCAGTGGCCAGTGGTCTGCCAGAGAAGGTGCGAAACCCTCAGCCTGCTCTGGCCACCTTGGCACGCATTTTGCCAGCCCTGCAGGAAAGCCCAGCCGTTCGTGGCTACCCTGGCACGTGAAACAAGCGTCTGGTCCCAAGCACATGCCACCAAAATGTCCTTCTCCTGTGCCTCCTCTCTACCTGGACGATGATGGGCTCCCCTTCCCCACGGATGTGATTCAGCACAGGCTGCGGCAGATCGAGGCCAGCTACAAGCAGGAGGTGGAGCAGCTGCGTAGGCAGGTGCGAGAGCTGCAGCTGCGCCTGGACATCCGCCACTTCTGTGCCCCTCCGGCTGAGCCTCCGATGGACTACGAGGATGACTTTGTAAGTAACTGCCTCTAACAGCCCAACCGGCACTGTGGCTCCTGGCCAGCGGTGGTCCTGCACCCCCTCGCACCACCCTCTCCTCCAACCCGCAGTTCTCGGTCTCGTACTTTCCGAGTGGGCGGTTGAGATGTGTTCCTACATTTCCTCAGCCCTGTTCCCCTCCTGTCCTCATGCCACCCAGAGGTATCTCTGCTTCCTGAGGGCCAAGCAACGGCTCCTATGCAGGGCATGAATGCTCTGTCCTCTTGTATGGGAACTGTGGAGCCATCCACACGCCCCTGACAAGCAGCGAGTGTGGCCGAAGCAAGGAATGCCCTTGACTGTGCATTGAGGCAGCTGAGGGGATCTGTGACTTCATCTCTTTTTGCAGACATGCTTGAAGGAATCAGACAGCAGCGACACCGAGGATTTCTGTTCCGATCATAGTGAAGACTGTTTGTCAGAAGCGAGCTGGGAGCCTGTTGATAAGAAGGAGACTGAGGTATGTGTTCTGTTACAGCAGCAGAGAGAGTTTTTCCTGGCAGCTAACTTTGGTGGTTACAGCGGCAGAGTGGGCTGGAAGCAAGGCAGACAGCAGCCGCCCTTGTCCTTTAACATGTCCCCTGCTGCGACAGATTCTGACAGAAGGGGGCCGGTGGGCTGGGCTCACTCTGGGCTAGCCTGCTGTGGCTGAAGCCTGTGGGACCCTGACCGCGTCCTGAGACCCGGCCTGTGTAGTGTTACAAGCCGAAAGCTGATGAGGACTGGTGTTTGCCCTAGGTCACGCGGTGGGTTCCAGACCACATGGCCTCGCATTGTTTTAACTGCGATTGTGAATTCTGGCTGGCCAAACGGAGGCATCACTGCAGGTAAACAACATTATCGCTGTAGTTCTGCTCTTATTCTGAGCCTCTTTCTTGTGAACCTCACAAAATCCTTGTCTGTGATGTTGGTTCCCTCCAGCTCCCAGGAGAAAGTTTCAGGTCTTTCCTTTATTTGCCAGGCCTCATGAATTCCCTGGAGATTTCCATTCTGCATTGTTCTTTCTATTTTTCCAAGGCCTTTGATCCCTCTCCTGGGTAGTAGTGCCCATTAGTCCCTTCTTAGTGCTGGCTAGTTAGCTTGCACTGTAGACCCCAGTATATACTTTAAGTTGACAAGTCACAACTAAGGCTGGTACTTCGCCCCTGAACTGGATCCTTTGTACTTTCTGAAGTTTTGCTGTGGTGTTCCCAGCTCTCTCTTCACTGGTTTTCTTCCTCCTTGACAGGAACTGTGGGAACGTGTTCTGCGCTGCTTGCTGCCACCTGAAGTTGCCCATCCCTGATCAGCAGTTGTACGACCCTGTCCTCGTCTGTAACTCCTGTTACGACCACATCCAAGTGTCTCGTGCCAGAGAGCTCATGAGCCAACATCTGAAGAAACCCATCGCCACAGCTTCCAGCTGAATACCAGACAAGGGACCTGTCTAAGCCCAGCCTTTTCTCTCATGGGTTTGAAGGGTGACTCTGCCTCCACTGTAATTGTGAAGGCCGTTGGTGCAACACTTGAACACCAAGCTCGAATGCAGTCTTCAGCAGTCTTACTATCAGCCTGGAGCAGAGGAGCTCAGATTAGAGAGTATGGTGTGCGTCCCCACTCTGGTACCGGTGGGCCCGTACATTGTAGTCTGATGACCTAGGGCTAAAGAGGGGATTGCAACCTCTTTCTTTTGTGGGCTGGAAAGCAATGTTTTCACAGATACTGCCTGTGCAAAGTACCCCCAAAGCAATAGAAAGGCATGTTTAGAACCAACTCCCCTACAAAGGCAGGCTGCTGTACGAGAAGAGGGCAGACTCCAGGTGGTACCGTGTGCTTTGGAATGGCCTCAGCCTGGAGCAGTTCTGTAGAGTCTCTTTCCATGAGTGTGATTTGCGATCAGCTTGGTGAACAAGACTCATTAGCCATCACTAATTGACTTTCTCTTGAGTGTTGAAGAGAAATTCATTCTGGCTGAAAATGGGCCGAGCAGATTTTGCCCATTTTCACACTCCGCTAGGATTGGTGAACGCACTTGACTTTGCCCCTGCCCCCCACCACCGCGGGGAGATGGGAGATCGGCTTTTTCACTTCTGCTCTGCCCGTCTGCTTTGTCTGCGGTAGCGTCACGGCCCGGTGCTGACACAGGAATGGCACCCTGATCCTCTCCTGGCATGGAAACAGAACTCATGTTCCTGTGTTGCTCCTCCTCCCCTTTTCTGCCCTCGGCTCTCCACTTCCTACTGCTCTTTATCCTGAAAACTTGATACCTTGAGGGTATAGGCCATAATGTGTTGTTTTACCTCCTGGAATGTGCTGTCTGGTGTATGTGAGGGTTTCAGTCCAAATGCTGCTATATATTTCTGTGCACTTAATGTAACCCGAAGAAGGGAGAATGAAGCATTGATACCAAAACGGGGGTGGGGAAGGACACTGGCTGACATAGACACTACGTCTGTGCTTTTCACTTTAGGATGTACAACCAAGCTACAGTGATAAACATGATGTGTGGCATCTCTCTAGTGGTGGAAACGATCTCTCTGACTTGCCCCAGCGCTACCTAAAATGCCTCTTGAATTTGACTTCTTTTTTGTCTCCTGTACAGCGGTCAAAGTTCAGAGTTGCCAACTTGTAATTGCCTCTCTACTTCTTCTGGAAACTAGAGAGCAGGAATCCCAACTCATTCTAAGGAAAAGGAACTAGGTTTAGAAAGAAAGAAAGGTTAAGAAAGTGGGCTTCAGGTGGGCTTTTAATCCCTAGATCCCTCTGGGAGTATACATCCTGCCTCCTTTCTAAGGAATCTGTGGATCTTAATGAGGAAGAAGAGTTTGAACATGGGGCCTTTCTTTGCAGAAATGCAGGTTTTCTTTCCAGCTAAATGAAAATGTCTGAGATATTCTGCACCTCATGAGCTGAGACTTCGTATTTGGGGGGAGGACCTGTGAGGGCGTTTGGCCTACTAGCAAGGCAAATTACGCTGTTGTGCTCTCCCAGATTTTTTGCTGATGGTTTGTCATCTCCGTCGGAGGGAATGGAATAACGACCCTTTCCTGCACTTCGTTATGTCAGCCTCTGGTTTTGTAAACCCCAGTAGTGCAAGCAAAGCTAGCATCATCTGAAGACCCTGTACCTACTTGGACTCTGCTTCTTTTCCATACGGGGAACAACCAATATGGCTTTGGGAAGAGAAGGCACCTTGCTTCAGATTCTCCCCTGCCTTGTACCTTGCAGTCATTGCCAGACATGGTAGAGTGACCGTTGGGCTGGCAGAAGAAATTGGGTTTGCTCCTGTTTTGCACATGTTGGAATGACTGCAAGCAATAAGGAAGCCAGAAACTAGGTACTCCTGGCCCTTCCGTTCAGGCCGTTAGTCCAAACTGCTTTTAGCTCTTGTGAGTTTCAGCGTCACAATGTGCTGGCCAAAAACTAAAATCAGTTCGATAGCATTGTGACAAACAAAATGTGCTGTACAACTCAATACAGTCAAAATAAAATCTCTATATTAGTGCTGCTGTGTTTGGACCTGTTCTTTAGTTGAATTTAGTGGATTATTTAGTGAATTTTTCTTGCACGGTGATTCCTAGGCTGCTGTTACTTGCTACCTTTTCCCTTGATTTGAGGTATGTTTGGAATTCAATATCCCTTCTCACGAATAAGAATCAGGGTAGGACACAAAGTGCACTATGCTGTGGTCATCTACTCAGAGGCCCTCTGCTCTTTTCTGGGGAAAGAAAAAAAAAACCACACAAAAAAAAAACCCCCAAACCCAAAAACCTGCAGCTGCCCAGGATGCCAGGTGCTTCCAGCCTCTCCTGCAATGACTTGGTGAGGAATCTTTCTTTTCCAAGGAAGAGCTGTTCGGCAGGATTCCCCAGCTCTTTGCCCACACATTTATACCACTCTGCCTGGCAGGCTGTACGGATGTGTTCCTCTGTGCAGGATGACGGATGGGGACTGTTGTGCTCAGTCAGCCCCATGTGCCAATGTGATGCAGTTAAGTTAGTTGTGGTGGAGCTGGACAGAATCTTTCAGAAAGTCAATTTAAAGCATCCAGGGAACTTGAAATTGAGCAGATTGCTGGTAAACTACTCCCAGAGTTAGGTCAGTGTTTGTGTCAGGTAGTACCTAAACGCTTTGTTGTGTTGGAAATGTTAGGAGTGAGATAGCTTGTTGCATTTAAATTAACTGTTGCTCCTGAAAGTGTCACACAAAGGAGGTCAGCTTTGGAGGCAGTGTTGCTGAGTATTAATCATGAATGATGCTTTTACAAGAAAGGACAGTCTTCTGATTAACTTCCAGGCTCTGCTCTCAACAGTTCCAATGTCGTCTTGATGGGCGGTGGAAGGCTGTCTGCGGGGACTGACGCCTGGGCTTCTGCTCACCACCTGGGACAATGCTTCAACAGAACGTCCCCCTGCGCGTCTTGCTGGAGACACTCATGACTGTTGTAATGTTAAGCTGGCCATGCCAGCAAAGGGCGCTTAACGCTCATGATTATTGAGCACAGAACAAAGCATTATCACTTAAAAAATATAGCCGTAATTTGCCAACACTTTCTCCCTGAGGTAATCTATATGTGCACTGAAATGTGTCTAAACCTAGCACAAACAGTGAGATCAAAGCCTTCCCCTATCAGTGCACCAACTGCCATGAATTCTTAGCAAATTAACAACCGGAACGTCTTATGATGTACTGTAATATCAGCCAAATACAAAATAAACAAGATTTAGGTGTAGTGAGGAGCCCGGTCAAGCTTGCGATGGTTGGTATTACTCAGCTGCTCAGCCAGTAATAGATAAAGCTAAAACTGCAGGGGATGTGAAGAGACACGTTGAGCCTTGGTTATGAAAGAAGAAAACAGGAAGGTGATGTGTGGCCTCGTGAACCCTGCGAGCGCTGAGCAGAGAACAGGTAAAGCCAGATACGGACAAGAAGGATGCAGTCTGAGGGTGCACTCCGTGTGCTTCGTCCGCTCGGTTTTCAGCACGAGATAGAGGAGTACGTTTCTCTCCCAGAATGTTAGGCTTCTGTGAAAGGGAACTTTGGGAACTGCCATTTATTTATGGTACCTTGGGTTTCTATATTTCTAAGTTTAAAGACAATTTGGCATATTAGTTTTAAGATACTGCATGCAGTCTCCAGTATGTTTAAAACAAGAATTAAAAAGCTGCTCAAAGCAGCACGTAACTTAAATCTCACAAAGTTTAGGCCAGTCACACAACTTTACTCTCCCACGCAAGAGTAGTTTTTACTGGCGCGTTTGTACGCAGTTCTTTCTCACTGAACACCTGGTTGGTTCCAAGTCCCCGTGTCAACCTCTGCCTTGAAAAGCTGGGTGCTGCCTGACCTTGCTGGGCTGGCCCATGCTCGGTGGAGTGCTCTGGTGAGCTGATGGCAGCCCAAGCCTTGGTTTGGGGGGTATTTACAAGGTTTATATGTCCCAGGACAAAGTATTCGTCCTGGCAACTGCCACTGCTCTTCATGACTGCAGGCTGTAAAGTGCTCCCTGTCACCTTCTAACAAAGTAGTCATATTGTAAAAAAACAAGCTAGAAAAACTGATAGAGTGGCAGAGAGTAATGTATTTTCACTCATGGTGTAAAAAAAATTGCATATTTCTATTCATTTAAATTTGCAGAAAGACAACATACTGTTTTTATTGTCTGCAAAGGCACTTGCCAAAGGAAAGCATTTGGCACAGCTGTGTCAGAAATAAATACTAACGTGTGGCTTACAGCTGCAGTATATACACTGTGCACAGCATCTTCCTTTTGGATACATGGTGAGTAAACCATTTGCTAAAAGTCAGTGGTATTGAAAGAAGGGAGGCGTGCAGCATCACAGACCTGTAACGGGCAGGTGTCTAAAGAGGAACAGATTTAGTAGAGTCAACTGCAGTTCCCAACTGGTGACTGAATTACGGAGGCAGCAGCAGCGCGACCAGGCCCGTGGCTGTGCGTGAAGGAAACTCGGGCCACGGGGAGGAGAGAACCCGTGCTGCTGGGTGCATTGTGCTCCTTGGCTCTCTTCAGAGCCAGAGCATCGTAGTTTGGGGGAAAAAGCGTGAGTACGGTACGTCAGCGAGGGGCTGGAAGGGTGACAAGGTAGGTGTTGAGTGAAGGCTGGAGGGGGAGATAAAATTGCATGAAAAGAGACAGGAGCAGCAGCAAGGCTGGCTGAAAAGGCTGGGCACTGTTGTCAGCTGACCTTTCCTGTAAATTCTGTGCAGTCCAACAGCTGTTGACTTTGCTACACTTCTTGCTGAAAAAGAATTTTGTTATTATTGACCTGTTCCAAGTGAGAGGAAACTTGCGGTGTTCCCCAGAAGTTTTTCCGGGAAGCCCCTGTATTAAGCCTAAAGCACAAACAGTTCGGAGGCAGATCTACCGGGAGCGCTGAAGGGACCGGTACCTCCCTTCTCAGCATCGGGCTTGCTTGGCAAGCCAAGCGCGCTCGCCGCCAGAGCGCTGCGAAGCTGTTTCCTTCACGCTGTACCTCCTGCCGCAGCTGCTGTAAGGTTGCGTCTCCTGGCACGAGCAGCGAGGTGCTGAAAGGTGCAGGACCTGGCTCTGCCCAGTGCTTGCAGCACTCTGGATGCTGATGAAAAACATCATTCTGTCTTTAAAAAGTCATCTGCTCTGCAGCTACTTTCCTTCAAAGTGCTGAAGGAAACACCTAAGAGGGACTTGTGTTTCTGGGCTTCAGCTTCAGGGGCTCTTTGAGTTTCTCTGCATTTCAGTTATGGACTACATATTGCCAGCTCTGACCTGAGTTACGGATGATACAGTAAAAACCTCACCTATCCCAGCCAGGTACTCGTAGTCGTCTTGCACTCTAGGGAGAGAGGAGAAGCCTTAAATCATTTTGTCA